CATCATATGACTCCTTTAAACTTTACAGAACAGACTGTTATGCCGCTTGAAATTGCAGACTGGTATTTCATACCATATTGTTTTAATTACAGGCGTAATTACAAAAACACTGGTTTGTAGCACAAATACTTTTACCGTTTTCTGTTATTCTTCTAGTTATATTCACAGAAAACAGTTACTTACGTATTGCAAAATTAGGTGGATGTATATAACAATTTAAAAAGTTTAAAAAAATTAATTTTTCAAAGTGATGTGAATGAAAACAAACTTCCCAGGAAGACCTGATCACATAATGTCAAACTCATACCTGCTGTTGACGGAGTATTCATCATAGATCTTCTCAGTTCCTCTATTTCAGCTCTGTGTTTGTTTCTCTCCAGTTCTACTCGAGCCTGAAGGTACATGAAGGTTGTGTAACAACTTCCTCCTCTTCCTCCGACTCTCTCTACAACATCTGGAGGAGCTTCACTGTCAAACGCTGCTCGTCCTAAGATGAAGTTTCCCACTCGACTGTTTTCTGACACGCTCTTCCCCAGAAGAACAATCCTCAGATCACCCACTGAAACACACAAAACATGCTTGATCTAGAAAAAAACACACAGAATCCAACAGTAGGATGCATATTTGCAATTGAATTCTGTTTTGAAGTGAATGAACTTCCCATAATCCCCACACTCTTAATTTTCTTCATGCATTTATAAATATAAATACTTACTGTTAGGAGGATTGGTGTCCATGCTGGATCTGCTGCGAGCAAGATCATGTGCAGCAATCACTGAAACAAAAGTCTGACGTTACACTCTCCTCAATAACACACTGAGAAGAACTTTGCACGATTTCTACAAGCAGCAATACTGTAATGAGCCTGAGTTTGTAAAAGTAATCAAATTAGAGTTTTCAGTGTTGTGGCATTATGACAACAATATAAAAACAGCATGCCTAAAAATAGAATTAGTTAGGGTGACCATACGTGCCATTTTCCCAGGACGCGTCCTGGCCAGGATTTCTATATTGCCTAAAATATCTAGGTTTTGGCTTTGTTTGCGTGTGTAGACCGATCGGTGTATGACATCAAAGTACCATACAGACGGTTATGCTTTCGAAACGCTCTCGAGTTACTTTGATGTCAAACACTGATCGGTCTGAGCCGTGCTGTTTTTAAGTCGAACACACCTAATATGTATGCGTAATTGCATCGCTTTGACCGTAGATCCCACCTTCTCACACGCCATGATTGGTCCATTATGTACAATGCTTGCATGTTATTGGTCAAACTACTTTTCGATCATTACCTTCAGCAAGCATGAAAACAGGAAAACAAAGCCAAAACAAATCCTGGCCAGGACGCGTCCTGGGAAAATGGCACGTATGGTCACCCTAAATTAGTCAGTTAACTTTGTTGTTATGCCTTACACGAATTTATCTCGCTGTAGGACGAGTTTGTGTAGAATCTGGCCAAATTAAACTAACACAGGCCACCACAACAGCGCAGCAAACAACTCGAGAGAGAAAAAAAAAAAAGGTTTAGTTGATTAAGGGAGATCATCCATTCTCAGTAAGAGTTAATTCTGTTGGTTAACTGAAGCAGCATGTTAGTACAGGTCTCTGGTTAGTTAAATCCAGATCTTACACGCGCTGTGAGCCATTATATCAGCAACTCCGTTAGGTTTCTAAAGCGAAAGTCACGTGACGATCAGATGAACTCACCGGCGCCCTCCTGCGGAGACTCGAACACGCGCACAGCTTCAGAAAGAGTTCAAGAACATTCTCTGAACACAGAGAGTATCAGTGTAAACGACAACTAACATATTAGATGGAAGGGTTTCCTTTCTTTCTTAAGAAATCAAGTTATTTCATTTTAAATGATTCACCGATGGTCATCAATCTCCACTAAACATGAATTATATTAACTAATTTAACATGAATATTTAATAATATAGGCCTGCATGATATAGACGGTGAAAACCAAGCAGAGTGAATTATATTAAAACACTACATCATTTTGTTTTCTTGGCAGGTGCATTCAAAATGCACCTAGAATCAATGTTTGTCCACAAATTTTATGATAATTACAGGTAAAGCTAAAAGTGCCAATAAAATAGAGATTAAAAACACTACTCTCAGAAAAACGCAGCTGCTGCACTATAATATGACTATTTATTTCTTAAAGGGGTCCTATTATGCTTTTTCACTTTTTGTGAAAAAAAGCCCAGCTAACCAATCACAGCACACACTGGCCCAGCTAACCAATCACAGCACATTTCGTATTTCAGAAAGGCGGGCCTTCATTTGATAGAGGAACTATTTGAGCCGTTCATGCCAGACTGGGGAGAGATGTGCTGTAATAATGTAAAATATGTGAAAAATTATGTGTTTTTCGAACAACCTAGTATGAGAGCCTGTTCTAGTACACCCCCAAAACAAAATCTAGACTTTGTAAAAGAGCATATTAGGACCCCTTTAATCAAATGACTTTATAAAGATGATTGTTTGTCCTAGAGGCAAATCTTGTTTATAATATAACTTTAATTGTTGGAAATTCTTCCTTCTCAGACACCAGACTAGAAACTGACCAATTGCTGCTTCCCATCCTGAACAGATCAAGAATTACCATGCACAATTCATATTTAAATGTATTTAAATTTATATTTAAATTAAGTTTAATTTTTTTAAAGATCCCATGCAGTTTGGCAGTCAACAGAACTATTCTACAACTCATAATCTTAATCTAATGGACTTTGATTATAAGGCTATGACATGACAATTACCCAGAGATGGACTCCTCAACTACCTTGTACCCTTCAACAGACATTGAACAGTCTTAACGTTTGGGTAGAGAAGCGTAAAATAAAACTCAGCCCAAAGTAATGCAAGGTCTTGCATGTCACTAGCACGAGGCGGGAACTGGTGAAGCATTTAATCACCATTGATCAGAACACTTTGGAAATTTATGACCGTACAAAAATTTTGGGGGTCATTATTCAGAGTGATTTGAAATGGGATTGTCAAGTGGACCACATGTTTTCCTCGGCTAACAGAAAGCTTAAAAAGTCAATAAAACTAAAACTTACAGACTGTGTGAGATAGAAGCCATTAATGGTTGTCCCATTACAAAATCTTCTGACGATGTGAATGTTCTTGAGGCACTTACTAATCACACACTCCTCCTGAAATCAAAACCTCTTATGACTCCTGGACAATTTAACGAGAGATATTTGTACATCAGAAAAAGATGGAGACAGGTACATACTTGTCAGATCTCTTTTGGAGAAGATGGGTAAGGGAATATTTAACATTACAAGAAGAGATACAGAAATGTATAAAGCCACGAAGAAGCTTTACAGTGGGAGACATTGTTGTCATTGAGGATCCTGTAGCTCCTCGTGGCTCCCGGTTGTTTGGAAGAATAATCAAAACCTATCCTGATAAAAGTGGATTTGTCAGATCAGTCCAACTTAAGACAAACACAGGCCAGTTGGATAGACCTGTATCCAAAATGTGTATATTGCTGGAAGCAGAGAACTGAAGCTGAATCAGAGTTCCCATATAAAGACATTTATGGCTCCTTTCATGTATATGTTGTTTAAAGGGGTCATATGATGCGATTTCAATTGTTCCTTTCTCTTTGGAGTGTTACAAGCTCTTGGTGCATAAAGAAGATCTGTAAAGTCGCAAAGACTAAAGTCTCAAATCCAAAGATATTCTTTATAAAAGTTAAGAGTCAGCCACGCCTACCTAAAACGGCTCGTTCTAACACGCCCCACATGTCTACGTCACTATGTGGGAAGATTTGCATAACACCGCCCAAATGTTCACATAAAGAAAGAAGGCGTAACTTTTATTCTCACTGTAGTATTGTTGCCGCTGCCGCCATGTTGTGAAGACGCTGTGTGCTTCGTTGTGAAAGCGAAACTACTTTGTTTGACCTTCCAAAAGAGGACGATATCTGCTTCGTCATGCCTGGAGCTGATCCGTGCTGGT